TTGTCTGTCAACAGGAAGGGGGAGGCAGGGTTAGCATGTGCAGCGGTAGCTGACCTAGCATTGTGTGTTGCTGCACGTGCAGGCACAGTGTGGGGTTAACTAAGCACTTCTGAAAGACCATTTCATGGAGATGAAAACCAGATTCCTATAAAAAGAACAGTGAGGAAATTATCATGTATAACAAGTCCATGTGCCATGTGCCAGGGTAGTTAGGTTGGGGAAGTCTTTCCCAGTGAACAAGCAACTCAGACCCTGGGAAAATGGTACTTGGAAAATTTCTCCAAAATTTTGGCAAGACGATTTGATAGGGATGCATCTGCATGACACAGCTAATATGCCTGAAGCAACTCCAGTGCTATGTAGCACCCTGTACTCTCTAGGTGACAGACTGGTCTCCTTTCAACTCGATCTTTCCCATCATGTAGCATCATGTCTGAACCTGCTGTGGTGATGTCCCTGTGCTTCTTTTGACAACCAGGGAAGGGTGCTTTTCATCCTCATGAGAGAAATGCCGTCTGCAAGGCTCCAATTCCACAAGCAGGGATGCACTGACTCACTTCACAAACCCCACTATTTTCCCTTTAGCTGGTGTGCCTACGTGCATGCATAATGTTACTTGTGCATGAATCATTCACATGGTTCTGTGTTCATAGAATGAGTTTTTGGGGCCTGTCTACACACAACTTCTGTAACTCCCAGAGGCCTCAGGCTCAGCCAATACTGACAGATACTGTTGTGCTGGCTTACCTCCATCCATTTATGAGGGCTCTGCATTTTAAGCCTAGGTCTACATTTATTTGGCATCAGGGATCAGAGCAGAGAAGAAAGTAAATGAACAACACAAAGGAGAAAGTGGTCTCAGATTAACTGCATTGCAATACTTCAATTTTTTCAGTGTTACCTAGTGTTTCTAGAGAACTGACTTGGAAAAAGTAAGACTGTCTGCTGTACACCGATATAAATCCTTCACTGATCTTTACGTCCCAGCATTAAAGACATTGCCATACTGGGCCCTCTTCCCAAGTGCAGCTCAGCTCTGCTGCCCAGTGGGAAAGGCAGCATCGTGCAGTGCGGTTTCACCAAGTTCTCTGCATGCTTATGCATCAAAGGAGAAAGGGGAGCAGGGCATCCGCTGCTAAGCAGGTCCACCAGACATCGTCTCCTTCTGCAGAGCACTAGTGCCAGGAATTGCAGTGTCAGACTGAAGGGGGTGGTAGGAAGAGAGCATACACTCTTTATACAAGGATGTGCAACCTGTTTCTTGGGGAACAGGGCAATTTAAGGAAGACAGTCCCTTCACATGTCTGATGTTTTAGGTCATCTCTCTCCTCTCACCCTCAGTTCTAAGTCCATGAGAGGATAATGCTGATTCTGGCGTATGGGTTATGGAGGACAGCAGAATGATTTGTAGCCTCTCTTCAGGAATAATCTCGTTTCCCTTTTTATCTTCACCAGGCACGTGGCCAACAAAAAGAGGGTAGAGATTTATCTGCATCCCACTCTGCACTCTAAGTGTAATTCCTCACTCGCACATGTCAGGACAAAGCATCTGACTGTGCTCCAGTAGGCAAAGAGTTGTTGAAGGGGTTGTCTCATGAGAACAGCTGGGGTCCCAGATGGCAGGAAACCCAGTGTAAGGATATTTTTCTCCCTTTCCCATTATACTGTACCTGCAGCACATGCTTGTTGTCTTTAGTATGCAACACGGCAGAAACTGTTGCTAAGGAAATACCGGGCTTAATCTCCAAGGGCACAAGTGAATCTGCAAGCTAAAGCAAAAGAAGGATTTTGTTCAGCAAGTGATAATTTCAAACTTTGTATGAATCCAGCTGTGATTTAAATTGGCAGCATGGTATTTTTAAACACAGACTAATGAACTGTAAACACAAACCCACTGATACAATGACAAAGCGCTCCTCTTACCTGCTCAGCCCTCCTCTCAGCTCTTAAAGCTACAGACTTTCATACTGCTATCAGAGCAGCATAAGGTTTTCAATAACCAAGGCAAGTCTCAAAAAACACAATTAAAAGGAATCCTTGTTTAAAAAGACACCTATTAATTCATTAATAATTTTGATTAGTAAAACTCATAATCTAATTTGGCATTGCTTATTATGTTTGTTATCTTGATGGACAGTGAAAAATCCAAGTCGGTTTCCCTTCAGTTCCTTACTGCTGCAGCATTCTGACTGGGAAACAGCTGGAAGAGTTTGCCCCTTAAAATCCAGTGGCTCTGTTGACTGGTTTGAAATTTTTCCTTACAACACTGTTTAGAAATCCTGCCACTGCCTTTTCTATAATTCCTCTCTGAAAGAAATAAAATTTAGTCTTGTCTCCATCCTTGAATTCAATGGCAACCTCCCAAGCCCCTCAGCACAGTGGGTGTTGGCAGTGAATGTGGAGTGGGCAGTACTGCACCTGCTGAGACTTGTGGAGGTTGGCCAACTGGAAAGCACCTCTCCAAGCCATGTTTCCAAAGGAACGCTGCAGAAAACAGTGCTCATGAACACAGGAGATTATTCCCTTTTTCCCTCTGAAGCAGTTTTAGATGACAATATATTGGCACCAGGTGCCCTGGAGTCCTGTCCATGACTTCAGCCAGGATCTAGTCCTAGATAAAGAGGTACCTTCACACCGCAGGGGCCAGCAGCCCGAGCTGTCTCTGAGTATTCCTCCCTGTTATTCTCTGTGGACCTGAGGGCCAGGATGCATGAAGTGTGTTCTGTGCCTGTGGGGAAACCCTGCAGACTCACAAAACAAAAATGGGTAAGATTGCTCATGCATTATACCTCTGGATGGGAAGGCAGACTTTTTAGTTCTGAGAAGTAACACCTAAAGGGACAGAATCCACTTGGCTGTTTATCCTAACAGTTGTACCATCAACCCACCCACAGCATCAACCCATCTAATGCAGAAAGAGCCTCTACAAGATGACCTTCATCATTCCTTTTCATCTCCAAACACATAGCACCTCCAGTTGGAGCCATACATTAAGAAAAGCTTAACCTCCAGGTAAAGGAGTTCTTTTGAAACTTCAGCCATCTACTGCAGCAATTCCGCAGAGCAAAGCTCTGAAGAACCAGCTATCACCATTGCCCTGCCAGCAAGGCAACACCAGCAGGCTTTGAGCAACCTGGTCTAGTGAAACGTGTCCCTGCCCATGGCAGGGGGGTTGGAACTGGATGAGCTTTAAGATCCCTTCCAACCCAAACCATTCTATGAGTCATTCTAATCTTTAGATTGCCAGATGCTCCCATGTATGAAAAGCAGGAGTAGAAACTGAATGATTTTAGAAAAGCATCTATATTCCCATTTTGTAGATAGCGCACCTGAGGCAAAGACCATCTAGTGAATTTTTAACAGGATCCAAACCAGGAGAGGGATGGAGCAGAACAGCTGAACCCTGCCACTTCTCAAGAGATTTCAGATATTAATACTTTACTGCTGAGTACTCAGGTCTGCTGTAAATTATGATTATGTAGGTGATCACTGTATTACTGCAAAGCTCTAATCCTTGTGAATATAGAAGCTACTGAATTAGACTTCAAAAAGCAGTCACTACTGGCCTAATCCTTTTGCCACTGAAGCACTGAGAAGGCTTTTCTGTTTGTTGGCTTCAATGGCAGCAAAGTTCAGCTACTTCTAATGACTTCTGAAAATCTTACCTACTGCTATTAAAGCTGCAGGAACCTTTTGAAAGCACCTCCTTGAAATAAAGCAGTTGGATAGATGACTGTGTTGGAAACACACAGACGTTTTAAGGCTGCATTCAAATCTCCTAAATTTTACACATATTCAGACTTGGTGAATCTTAGAAATCAAAATTTCATGAAGCAATTCAGATTGCTGTCTCTCTGGGATTCTCTTCAGGATCTTTAAAGCCAGCAGTTTGAACACAGCCTTTACAGTTTGTTATTGAAGGCTAAGAGAATGAAAATATAATGATAATCATTGCTTCAGATTTCCCCTAAGACCTAAAAATAGTAACACTTGCAGCAGCGTGGTTATGCTGCACTTTGCAGTGGTCGCAGGCACTTTCCATTCCCACCACCTTCCAGAGGAGGATCAATACGAAATGGGCTCTAATGAAGAATACATGGCACAATGACAAGCACTGTAAAGAGAAAGATCCTTAAAAAACAGCGCTGTTTAGAATCCAAGTCTTCCTCAGCTAGTGAAATACTTTTGATATTAACATTTATATAGCTTTTAACAATACAGTTGGTGAATAGCAACACTTTAATTATTAAAAGTCAAACAGACAGTAAGGCAGATGTTAATTTTTATTTTCTCTAAGATACTGCTTTATCCCACAGCCCTCTCCATGTTGCGGCCAATCCTCTTATTATAGAAGTTCACTGACCCAAACCAAAAAGGTCATTTAATCACAACCAGTAATTCACCCACCAAGACCAGACAGCAATGCTATACTCCCTTCAACTGACCTCCTACACACACAGATCACAGAACTCTTCCAAAATGCTGGATTAAAGAAACCCTTTTCAGAAAGACAGCAAATCTTGTCTATACTCCAAGCAATGGCAACTCCACCATTGCCTGTCACAAGCTGTTCCAAACTTCAATTTTCCCTGCAGCTAGGCAACTGTGTCTTATTTCAAGGTTGAATTTGTCCAACTTTCAGTTTCTGGATCTTGTTATGCCTTTGTCTGTGAGATTGAAAAGCCCCCCACTATGCAAGAATAAATGTATCTTCCTTCCAGTCATTATCACAAGTCTAATGCCACATGCTGGCACCAGGAAAGTCACGAAAACAGAGACACACAGCACTGACAACTAACATCACATTAATCAGTCTCCTGCCTGTGGATAGGCACTTGGACTGGCTTAACACAAACTTGCCTGTGTTATGTGTACTGTGTATTTCATTTTTTCAATCCTTTCTGTTAAGAGAAGTTTAAAACAGAGACCAACCAAAACCCAAGTCATTGAATCTCAGTAGTCCGAAATGGCAAGTGTTGATGTGAACCTTGTAATGGCTGAGGGAGAGAAGAGTCAGCTTGGGATGTGCTGCTCCTGTGATCAGTTGTCCATCTATGCTCTTACAAAGCAAAGACATTTTTACCATAAGCTGCAGTTGAATCTTTTGTCTAAGATTGCATTTTACACAACAAAATGAGATCTGACACATACTATGTGAGTCCAAACACTGTTGTTGGTCAAACTATAGTTATTTATAAAGAAGAACAAAGTACATGGGTTAGGTTTCTCTGAAGTCTCTACTAAGGCTTCACTGGGGACAAGTCTCCCTAGGCTTAAGGTCACATGCTGTTCTCAGTCACCAACCCAGAATCCTTGCGTTGGTAATGAAGGGCTGAACAATAACTGAGGATAGGATCTGAAACTCTTAAAAGTAAAAAAAAACACCTGAGGCTGAATAAGCAGTGAATAAAATCAGGAGAGAACCAGAATTTTAGCACACATGGTCTTGGTCTTGTGGATGCTTTTCCCAGGGACAGACATACACCAGCTAGTATTTTAACATCTAAGCTGCATGACCTATTCATAGATTTTGGGACATCTCTCCAAACTCCCCCCCCTTCCCTCTTCACCTAGTGCAAGAGCATTTTGGTAGAAAGACTGACCCAGCAAGGAGAGGAAAAGTCTGAGTTGAGTGAGGTGAGCCAGACTTTCACCTTCCAGGGCTGCAGCAAAGGGGAACAGACAGGAGCACAGCAAAGCTTATCAGTAATTAAAATCTCCTTAACCCTAAAGATCTGAAATTCACTGATGTGTACACTACATTATAGCATGTGTATTTAGAAATGGTCACAGCTGGGTTTTTACATCAACATTAAATGTGTATTTTCCATATTTGCACACTGTGCATAAATGTATGAACTCTGCATTAGAGGTAGGAGCCAGTGTTGCAATTCTGGATCAAACCAGAGAAATCAAAGACATGAAACACAGCTGTGAAACCACTGGGCAGAACAGACCCATTGTGAACTCAACACATTGCAAGTCCTTGGAAAAAAATAAAGAATAGAGTTGTAATGCGTTCCTTGGGACAGGGATCAGTTCTGTTCAGTGCTTGTGCAATACCTAGAACTCAGAAATTATACTCAGGAGTTCATTGCTAATGCTACTGTACTGCAGTAATCAAGTAAATGAAGAAAACTTTTTAAAAATCATCAAAAGTGGATCACTTGTGACTAACACAAGAGTTTCCTCTGATAAGACAACTGCTGGGGGAATTGGGGCAGCCACAGTCTGTGTTTCAAGAAACACTATCAAGGTACCACCATGGGAAATTACAAACTGGATTTCCACAGCAGCCCCGAGGTGGCGAAAGCAAAGATATTCCCAGACTGACCCCTAAAGGGTCAGTCTTGAGCCTTCTCCCATCCAATTTTTATTAATGACTCAGTACCCAATGAAGAGCGTGTTCAGAAGGCCTCACTGAAGTTTGTAGAGGCACCCTCAATAGAAAGAAAGATCAGACTATCACAGAGGAAGAATCAGATGACCTCAAGAACTGGAATGAGAAAACCAAGATGAAATTCAATAGTGTGAAATGCAAGACCAGGGACTGGGTTAATACTGAGAATTTCTGCTGTGAGTTGGCAGCTGCTGTAAACGACAGAGGTGAAGAGTCCAGGGGCATTAGTTCATCCCGTGAGAAATGAGAGTCACAAATGTGACATGGCCATGAAAAAGCTAAATGCAGCTCCAGAAAATACCAGGTAATTCTAGCAGAGATGAGCTATTGCTGTTATATGGGGCCTAGCAAGATCTCATCTGAACTACT